GGGACGGGAGGGGGGGGGGTTTGACAGAACCGTCTGTGCCGGCTGCGCGCCGCGTTCTCCATCAGGCGATGGCGCAGACTAGGTCTTAAGGCACTATGCGCATCATGATGGTGTTGGCCGAGAAACACCCATGAGACGCCATGGGATCGAGATTAGAAATTGTCGTGGAAAAACCGGCGTTAAATTTGCACCGTCTTGAAAATTTCTCATTAATAGTAATAAGGCTGCTTTTTTAATTAATTTTGCTCGGGCGATATATATTATTGTGTATTTTATAAAATAATTATACTCGATAATAACAGCAATTAAAATTTATTTAATTAATTGTAAAAAAAATGTGTAACATGAAAAATTATAGTGAGTTTAGTTCGAGCATACAGATCCTGTTCAATTTTGCAAACTGCAGTTTTTTTTTTTTTTTTTCTTATTGCAGTGATAGGAATATCTGAAAAATCAATAATTTTAAACTCGCTCCTCCTACTTTGCGAGCACAATAGTAATCAACGTCGCGTCAATTTTCATTATTCTACTATAATAATTTCTTCTTGTATTGTATACGAGAGAAAGTAATGTATCTTCGACAGTTGTTTCGTCGCGAAAGTGCGGCTTGGCACTCGGGATGCTGCTTCTTAATGCATTGTCACATTTCTACGTATATTTTTCTACAAACGCTTTATTGTCTCAGCAAATCTTTCTCTCTAGCGATAGCAATTTTGTTCTTTATGTGGCTTGAGAAATGTTGGCATGAACGGTACACAACTCTACTGAAAATGACCATTTTTTTGCTTCTGGTTTATATAAGCTTCCGCAGTTCCATTTCCATCCGGTACAACTGTCGGGCACTCTCGTTGTCGGGCTTCCATTTTATTCTTTGTCTTTTATGGCTTTTCTTTCTCTTGTACGTCCTTTGTGTTCGCGCAGGATATATTTTCGCACGAGGATCCGAGCTGATATACCGGCGCGCGATTTTCGTCAGGCAAAGGCAAAATGTAAATATTTGCCGATTTGTCGTCACGTTCTTCGAGCGACACGTTCCAACTTTTCTTACGTCGCAGGAGAGTGGGTCGAAAAATGCAAATTTTTTAGAAACGTATTCTCAAAGTATACAATCAAATAATATCAGTTTATTTTTGCGAGTTATTCGAGAAAAGAGATAAACAATTTACGCGACAAATAAGTTGCGTCAAAATTGGATTTGTGCAGCTTCCATTGGAGCACTTTACGCCTACGATATCGATCGTCCTTTGACGATGTTTGCCGGTAGATGTAGTTATAATGACGCTAACTCGTATAATTGTTCGGTTATACTCGGGCTAATTGCATTGGCCCGTTCGTCGTAGCTTCTCTTTTCAGGCGACGGAGTAGAATTTAATTTGTGGCCAAGTGCCTGGTTGAAGTGGCTCCGAGTTCTCGGTTTCACCTGGACGACTCCCCCAGTTCCGGCGCATTCAGATTCAAAGCTCTGGACGAAATCAATACGTAAATATCGCGCATCTCAGCTATTTTCTCCTTTCCCGATGTACTTCCCTGTTTCCGGTAATAAGTTCCCCGGCCGCGCGGTAAAGTGTGCCAAAGAAAAAAAAAAGAAAGAGAAATAGGCCCTAGAGATATTGGAAAGCATCGAAAATGGAGAAAATGGAATTTTCTCGCTTTTTAATATCTCTCGGCTAAAAGTTGCTGACGTCCAGAAAATATTATCTAAAAAGCTGTAAAGTAAGATATAATTTTTGTAATTTAATTTTTTTTAAATGATGTTTCGCTTATGTTATAATTTTATTGTATATTAATACAAAAGTTTGATGATTAAGGTTGAAGGATATTTCGTTTACATAAATTAAGTTTGCAAGAGACAATAAGAGGTTTGCGCGACGATAAAAATATTGAACTTATTAGATATTGACAACGTATAATCACTCGGCACAAAGTGGTCAGGTGAAAGAGCATCTGGACAAAGAAACGAGTGGAAAAAGATAGTCTGGAAGGACGGCGCTCATCGTGATCGCCGCGCAGAACGGGCGGCATTATTCGTGCAGCGCATAGCGCGATTCATTCGTCATTGTCCGGCGTCCCTTTGTAACGTTACACGAGGATGGCTCTCGTGGCATATGGACTCATTCACCGGCGAATCGTTACAAGTGTGCAGAGCACACAGAACTCGTAATACGTGTACATATATCGCGTTTTCGAGCGACTATTCAGACTCGCCGAGTTTCAAAAGTATCCTACCAGCTGTACAAATGCAACGCCGAGCGCTATGCACTAATTAAGGCACGGAAAAATATATACAGATCTCCGGTCAATATCATGAAAGCTCCGCGAGGAGAAACGTGCTCGCGTTTAAAATAACGTAATTCTGTCGTGAAAAGTCAGGATCCACTTGTTTATCATTCAACGATAACGAGGAGGGTGCTCTGTGTTTACCTTCGTTTCGATCCATCGCAGACGGGTCTGAGCAAACGAGACACGGGGAGAGAGTGTCGGCAAAGAACGGGTGTGCTGATAGCTAGGAATAGCGGTGGAAAATTGCGTGCTCGCACGCATTCGATGTGACTTCCACGGGATAACAGCCAGTCACGCCTCGTCGCGAGGACATGCGTAGGGCTTGACGCATACCAGGAAGGGTGAATAAACTAAGGGGATAGTCCCGATGAGAGTTGATATACTCACAGACAATTCCGCACACAAATAAATTCGTGAAAGCTATTGTATGTTTGTATCGACAAAACTGGATTTTTAATTTTCGATCTATACCCTTTCTATCGGCTAAATCTATATTTCTTGCTATAAATTTTTCTATACAAGCTATAACTTCACATTTTTACAATGAAAAATCGACCTTATATTGTCATAAAGATATGCTATCGAAAAAGGCAGTAGAAGTGAAAGTACTCTTAAAAAAAAAAAAATAAATAAATAAATAAAATTAAACAGGTTTTATGGACAAATACAAATATAAATACTGATTCTCTGTTCGCGTTAGTAAAATTCATGTTTTTATAGTGTCGTATTTTTACAATTTAACTCCGGACATTTGCGAAACATAATAGCTTTTCGGATTAAAGCGATTAATTTTTGTTATAACATTTAATTTTTTCTGAAACACATTTTTGTATATAATTTTAAATTAAAATGTCACGCAAAGTAAATCATGCAAAGAAAATTTTTTAATTAATTTTTTAATAAACATTGTCGTTTATTTTTCGTGGGCTAAACGAACAGCGCGGCTAACGAATGGCTGTAATGTCTTATGATCGTAAACGAGTGTCGTAACTCTACAGTTATCTGCCGGCGATAATAACCAACCGGCAAGGAGTTTATCTCCTTCAGATTATGACTAGAAATCGAGCCAGAATGAATATGACTAGGAGCGGCAAAAAGTCCGATATTAATTAAAAAAAGAATACGGAAATTATATTTATGTATATATTTAATATTATATATATAATATGCATATAATATATTCTGTCATTATAACAGAACTGAAATATATTTTTCGATAATAAGTAAACCATGTAATATATTAGATTATGATATAACTGTTTGTGTGGGATTTAGAAATAAACAACCATTGAAAAATTGACTTTTTCGCTTCATTCGATATACATATAAATCGATAATAACTATCGAAAAAAATGTGTACATGCATAATAAACGGATCGCATTTATCACGGCACATATATAAGGTACATGATGCATTATCATACTAATGATACATGCAACTAAATGAAGACATCTTAAATATATATAAATTATATCTAAAATGTAAAGAGTAAGATGGTAATCATGATGTGTAACTAATTACACGTAACAGATTGGCGAGAAAAATATACAATCAGATAGAGATTCGTTTTTTGATTATCACGGTGTAATCAGGTGCTCTTGTAGCGATGAGTAATTTCGTCGATTGGAGAAATTGCGTAAATCCCCTGAGGATCTCGAATATTCACCACCTCTCCGTCCCTCTTTACAAAAACGGGGACAGTCTCAGACTATAGACCTGTCCTGCTGTCATTCGATCATTTTGAAGAGCGCGCAGGAGAATATCATTCCAAGAAACTGAAACAAATTGAGAATTTAAACAATTCTATTTGCTATGTAATAAACGAATAGATAAGGGGATAGCTACTTAAACAATACTTACGCAAAAAAACGGAATCGCTAATCTAATGCGGAAAAATCATCGCCAATCTTATCGAGGAAAATTCCGTTATATATAAGCACGAGCAAAACTCTCCTCTGGATATCAACTTTTTCATAGGAGACACTTGACGAATACCATTAAGCAATGAAAAAACGGCCATAATCGTTGCCGTATATATAAACGTATCGCGGATATATTATCAGATGCACGTGCGTATCAAATTACTATCATTACTTACGCACGGTCGTACAGTAGGAGTGAAGAAGCTAGAAGTCTAGTTTCAAAGACGATAAGGCCATTTTTTGAAAAATGTTTAAAAAATCTAAAAAAGATTCTCAGAAATTATGTATTATACATAACAAGTATTCAATATTTATATTAAAGGATATATCTCGAATTAAAAGAAAATATTAAATTTAAAAAAGTAGGCTTGGCCGTCTTTAAAATTAGATCTCGGTTGTAAAATATAAAATTAACTCGCTAAGGGAATATCTGCTCGAGCTCGTTAAACTTTACAGCGCTCAGGCTTTATTTAAATTTAACAGGGGAATTCTATAAAAATGCAAACTGCACCCTTACCATGAGGCATGCGACTGCAATACCGGCGCCACCCACAACAGTCGCGTGCTGCTGCAAATAGATTCGCGTTCCATTGATGCAACCCTCGACATAAGCATTCGAGGGATGTACCGTGTCCGAGCCAGCATTGCAAGGGAATCGCTGCGAATAGATCGGTCTGTGATGAGAAACACGATTCCGTCGTCCCTCGCGAGAAAGTAGATCGGAGGAGTGAAAGCGTGAGAGGACAGACCGGAGCGGTTAAGACTCGGTCGATTAAGTAATTGCGGCCAAATTGACGATCTCTTTGACCATTTGGGGGGAAATCGGGCGGGTCGTGAGGTATCTCAAAGTCGTAACGATATTGCTTAAACCACGAATAATTATTCGCGCGCGGATCTGTACGGAATCGCTAATCTCTAATGCGGAAAAATCATCGCCAATCTTATCGAGGAAAATTCCGTTATATATAAGCACGAGCAAAACTCTCCTCTGGATATCAACTTTTTCATAGGACTTGACGAATATCATTAAACAATGAAAAAACGGCCATAATCGTTGCCGTATATATAAACGTATCGCGGATATATTATCAGATGCACGTGCGTATCAAATTACTATCATTACTTACGCACGGTCGTACAGTCGACTATAACTATTTCGTCATCGAGCGACGCGACCGCGTTGAAAGATAATCGATTTCTTTTACCTCGCCCGGTTGAATCTCTCGACAGCAGCTCTCCGGCACGTTAAGATTAACGTTTCCCCAGTCCCTCCAACTGTTAACACCGCAACAGTGGAGCTAAAATTACGAAAGCCAAAAATTGAATTAGCTTTGCCATTATTTGATTTGACGAATTCTCGCGATATCCATAAAATATAACGATATCATTCTCCGGAACATTACTCACCGTCGATTGTGTGGCATCCCAGGCATTCCGGATAGATTTGCGATGATCGTAAAGTCGGAGCGAACTCTTCATCTCTCTGTCAACCGTGCTTAGCAGTTTTTCGCGGAAAACATATCCCAGAATGCCGCCGATAAGCATGATCACGAATAGCAAAAATACGATTATGAAATACTGAAAAAAATGCTCATTATTAATCGGTATCCTAAGTCAATAAGTCTGCTTAAATTTGCTTCGATGGAAGTGTAACGCTTAATCACGAAGAAATATAATACTGGGGAAATCACGATATTCAAATGTCCCAGTTTTAATATGCAATTAAATCCTCGATACTCACTGTCAAGAGCATACACTTGACTTCCCGCGATGCACCAAGGCATCCGAAGAAAGCGATAAAGGTCACGACGATTCCGCCAACCAGTAAAACATAAACTGAGCCGGTTAACAAATCATTTCCCATGAGCTCGCCTATCCATGGTACTTTGTCGACTAAGGCCCACACGCCTAAACCCGTCACGATAATCCCGCCAATCTGGAATACAAATTAATAATAAGTTTTTAATATGTAATTATATCTATTATCATATCTATTATATTTTTGACAAAGTTATATAAAACTAAAACTTACGAAGATGATAAAGTTCGTAAAGAATAAAGAATATTTCATAAAGCGACCACAGCCATCCATCTCCGTGCCGTATCCCATTTTCTCTTATCGATGTTAATCTATTAACAAAGCAATAAACAAAATAATAATAAAATTAACAATAAAATGCAAAAGTGTTAAAAAAATAAAGCTTCAATATTTTGCAAATATTATTGCCGCCTTTCAATTAGTGATGTTGGAGTTGCTTTAAAATGGTCTATATAAAAAAACAAGATTTTTAAAAATATGGGTTCCTTTTACTCAAAAAAAATTTCTTAAGCCCTTCACTTTAATACAAAATGGATTTTTTCTTTGCCTCGCCACTTTTTTGTCATATTATTCCGTTTCCTGTTTTCTCTGTCGCGTTTCTTAAACATAATGATACTAACAATAAGAGACTCATGGATCACGAGTAGGCCAACAATTTTAATTTGTAAAATTTATATTATAGTCACGTACATCGCTTTTAATTATGTCACACATCTTGGTGACATCAGACTTTGGCCTAATTTGAAGTACCTTGTCCGTCCACCATATCTTATAGCCTTGACCATAATCCATAGGCGTCGAGTTTTCTAAACTTTATGGGGGTTTCAGAGTTGGACAATAAAGCTTATATTTTTAGCATGCAAAAAAAGAATAATAAAAAAGAATTTAAGGAGGAAATATTTTAACGTGTTATTCGCGAAGTAAACTTTTTTTTAATTATTTAATTGCGGGAACACGCGCGCACGCATCTTACTAATTTGAATTTAATTAAAGAGACAATTATGTTCTTTACGAATTAGGAAGATCTAACTCAATTAAAACGTCTGCTGTTCCCGCTGCGTAGTAGTTTATACGCATTAGCAGTTTGGCATAATTATTTATGAGCTAAGAGAAAGAAAAACAGGTGCTCGTGTGATCAACGTGAATTTTCACGGAAAATAGTCGGTGACTTCCTGTTTTGAAAATACTGCGTTCAGCTTAATTGCTCTCTATTGTTTACCGAACATGTAATAAGACCCCGTAATATAGTATCGCTCGATCACCAGTTTATTTATGCTGTCAATCCCCTAGCCGACAGGAAGCGTGTGCGATTTTTAGTACATCCTATAATGCTCGACTTAATACCCCATTTTTGGAGAACGCGTTCACCTGTCGGACGTACGCTTGTCGTTCTATATTCTACGTGGAATACGTTTAATGGTGCAATACAGTCCTGAGAAGAATGCCTCGAAGTAACGCGCATGTTGATCGCTATCGTACCGTACAATATCGCATACCGTGCCCACGTAAGGTTGCGTGTTTTGTAACGCGTTTTATACCGACCTCGCAGTCGTGTAGACCGACACAAGTGCCGGCTCGAAAACACATTACGAGACCGAGAGAGAAAGTGGCTTCTCCCTTCGCATTAAGTAATCCACGGCCAGAGCGAAGCGTAAAAATGATGCGCGGCAATGATGTTCGCACTTGCAATCTCGCATCCCGCAAATGACATCATGCGGCCGAGCTTCCTTCGTCATATTTCACGAAACATGAATCACTTCATCTTACACGGCAGATTAATCTTAATTCCGCGAAACGGGATTAAGTCACACGAGAATTATTTATAAAGTATTCTAGAAGACTGAGAATATATAGAAAAATCATATTAATAAATTTCGAAGTTATAAAATAAAGTTATAAAACATTTTTTTTTTTTTTTTTTCCAAAGCCACTTTGGAATTAAGAAATCAAAGATTTTAAAATAGATATAAGAAATGATTCTCACTGTATTTTGTATACAAAATTACGCATTTTTAAAATTGATTTGCATCTCTTCACAAGATTAAAGATTCTGTTAGATTATTTTCTGAACATTGTATATTAAAATGATTTATGTTCGTCATAAATCTCAACAGCACCGATGCAATTGTTCCAATAAAGATCTGATATCATCATTAGTTAAAAAACGTCGTAAGCACGCAGCGGAATGCTGACATACATATATAGTCTGCTCTATTATACAATTCATCGGATATAATATATAATCCTTGACTTTTTGTCAAAATGATAAAACACACATGTTATTCATTTGCTTGATGTACACTTGAGAGTAATCTCAGACAATTTTACAGCTGTCGATTCCGTATTTGAGAAGTATAGAGATATTTTCATAAAAACTTTTTTGCTTAAAAATTTTTATATTTGATATTAATCTTGAGAGATAATCACGACGCTTTTTCTGCGTGCGCGAAATGAGCATCCGTGTACACGTAATGGAATAACTATCACGTAATCGAATAACTATCACGTATTTATCCACGTAATAGGAGCGAGTAAGCGAAACGTCTCTTTTGTGCGCTATAAAAATAAACGCACACACGTATGAACACTTGTGAATAATCTTGTTGGCGAGACAATCGTAGATCGTCGAAAGAAATCGTAGACAACAGGAAGAACGTAGGAAGAAGAAGGAGCTTGAGAAGCGATTCTTCGATGAATCGAGAGTTAATCTCGGCCCGAGGTCGCCGGGTTTTATTCTTTCTCCAGGTAGTAGTGTTACTACGATCCTGCTTTCCTATCCCCTCTTTTCATATTTAACTATCGCTCTTGTAACCGTCACCGAACTGCGCGTTTTTATATACAAGCTCACGTGACACATACAATCGTAGCACGTTTCAGCCGAGGACAAGACTGACAACTGAGGCGTCATCGCGTATCGTTGTTGTGATTTACATGCGTTCGTTATCGTGAGATTTATGGTAATTTTCATAAATACCATAATATTTGTCAGAGTACGAATCGATAATACCGGAGTACGATATGACAAACGTTGTGTGAACTGCGCGTTTTTATATACAAGCTCACGTGACACATACAATCGTAGCACGTTTCAGCCGAGGACGAGACTGACAACTGAGGCGTCATCGCGTATCCGTTGTTGTGATTTACATGCGTTCGTTATCGTGAGATTTATGGTAATTTTCATAAATACCATAATATTTGTCAGAGTACGAATCGATAATACCGGAGTACGATATGACAAACGTTGTGTGGTATTTCAAAGTCGCGCGGAAACTCAGTGATTTTAATGCTCTTTCGCGAAATTATTTAGAGCAAAAATATGGCGCGCGATAAAATTTTTCATCACGTTGGTAATTATTTTAAAATGCTTAACGCTTTTATATTTGAAATAATGGGCAAGAGGGAGAGAGGGAAGCTGTAAAATCTGCAGTTTGGAGCATTAAACAGATGTTGTGTAACTTGTGGTAAACGCAACAATTTTATGACTATTTTATGGCTAAAAATATTTTTCATGACTTCTCTTTGTAAATATACTGGGGACATTAGCGGTTGAGGACATTAATATAAGAGAAGGGGGATTCCAAAATCTAGTTTCAGGAAGGGCGCGAGATGTCTTATATTGATTTTGGTCAAGTAACATTGCGCTTGAAAGAGATTAATTTTATATTTCGATAAAATATAACATGTTCATGTAAAATACTTTTTTTTATAGGAATCATCTGTCTCTGTGAACGTGTTGAATATACATTTGAAGTTTATGTAAAAAAGATAAAAACGTTATCTTTTTCGTCTTGCCTAAGTTTAAAATTACGAAATGATTCGGTCAATGAGCAAGATAGTCTAATTAACTTAAATTATAACATTTATATTATCGATAACCAAAACTAGCCTCTTGTTGTTAAAATGATACGCAATTAATGCGCATCAAAAGTATGAGTATTACTTGAAGACATAAAACACGACGAACCTTCGCGGCAAATTTACGATTACTCGAATAATCAGTAGTTTCTCGTTTATTAGTCATCGAGCTCGTTTAAGCATAAATTAAGCCAACACGTAAAACAAGAAAGCTTCCGCTGTTCTTGTCTGGCTATTTTACAGATTGATATTATTTGACGAACGTGGGCGTAAGTTAATTCTCATATCATTCCGTCAATAAATTAGATGATTCCTTTCTTAATTCACATCCTTATATAATGTTGTAACAAAACTGCCCTCGTTGAATTAAACAAGAAAAGCTTATTTCAAAAGTGGAATAAGTCAATTTGTTGTGTATACGTTAATAACTTTATTTACACCAATCTATTTTCGGGTATAAAAATTCACAGAACGCAAGTTTCTGCAGAAAGTAGAAAATTTCAGTTAGAAATTTTTATTTTTTGTAGAATAAAAATCTACCGGAAACAGGAAACACCGAATCTGTAATTAATATCGAACGCGTTACGGCGTGGAAGTTGGCGGATGAATGACACTACGACGTAGCTTCTCGCATCTCTATTTTGATCGAGATGAAACGGAATAAAAACTATTTTCACAGGAGTATCGCAGCTGGATGTTCTCTGACTGACGCCAATCGATTGCTCAACATCTTTTACTCACGTTGGTCCCTGGCCGGCTTCCTTTCTCCAGCCAGCAGTGGTCGCGGAAAAGCAAACAATTCCTTTCTCCCGCTTGTGAAAAGCCTCCCCCGCTTCGAAACGAAATGCCGAAACAAACCAGCGATTCGTACCGGAAAGAAATTAATTGAATTTTAAAATGTCGATCAAGCGTTTCGTTTCCGATGATATAATTCGAATCGAGGCGCCGAGTCGGACACGCGCGATTACAGGCCGAGCCGAAGTGAAACTGAAATGGTAAGACCGAGTGAACTTCTACCTCGCTCACTCTCTCTTTCCGTCTCTGTTCTTCTGCTTCCATCTCGCTCTCTCTTTC